CATAAAAAAAAGTAAATGGTGGGTTCAATTAGATTTTTCCAAATCATTCGGCTCCTTGGTGAGTTGAGTTTTTCTCTTAGTAGATACAAATTACAACTTCTTTACTTTCCCTCATTTTTTGATTGTGTTTGTTGGCTATCAAAATTGGCTAAGTTATTTGGTTTTGTGTATCTCTTAGAGGCTAGAATTAGTATGTTTTTCCATCAATATATATTTTTTTGGTGATTATTTGTGAACAAAAATTAGAATTTTGGAAATAATACATGCACTCATGCACAATAACCATACCTACCAATTTTGCATCCCAAAGACATGGCTGATAATTCTAGAAAAAGAATAGGAGTGAGTGGTCTAAAAAGAATCAAAATCTTGAATACCCACGAATAAGAATTTTTTGAATTTTCAGACCAGACTAAGTGTCTTGTGTAATTTATTCAAAGCTTTAATATATTCGAAAAATTGATAAAATTAATTGCAGGGGTGGGGGAGTTGCAGGGGGTGAGTTTTCGTGAGGATTGACTTGCAGGGAGTGGGTTTTGTTGTGGAATGAACTGTAGGAGGTGGGTTTTGGTGTGGAATTAACTGTAAGGGGTGGGTACATGTTGCTTGCCTTTATTGTTCACTCGGATTTGATGTTAAATTTGCTTTGTTTACTTGTACACCTTGATCCATGTTGCATTTGTTATTTAGTAGTAACGTTATGTGTTGAGAAATTGTTAGTATAATTGAGAAATTGTTGTAGATGGAAATGGGTAACAAAGAAACTCATGATGATGAGGTTGTAGAGATTGACCATGACAAAAATGTAGTCATATGGATGTCCAATAAGGAGGCAATTTTCATTGATTTGATCCATAAGGAAGTAGCAGCGAGGAATAGACCAAATACTACTTTTACTAAACTTGGGTGAAAAAATCTCGTAAAAAACATACAATTAAGCACGGGGTACAACTACACGTATGAACAACTACGAATGAAGTTTAATAATTTGAGACCTATTTACCATGCTTTCAAGAAACTATTGAAACAAATTGGAGTTGGTTGGGATCCCGTGAAGAAAACAATTGTCTTGGAGGATGAGGTTTGGAAGGATTTGTGCAAGGTAGGTTTTAGTATTGATTATTAACCATTTTTTTTAACCATAATAACAAATGGTTTTAGGTTAATAAGTATTGTTTACCTTTCATTATTTTCATTTAATATAGGTTAATAAGCATGTCAGACAATTCAGGTAAAAATGGTGTCGACATTACGAGAAGCTGTGTAGGATTTATGAAAAGACAATAGCAACCGATGATAATTCTCATCCATCCACCCAACCTCCATTGGACAATGAGGAAGATAAATACCCTGTCTATGATCCGTCACTTGAGGTTGATGATGATGAGTAAAATGTGGAGAAAGTTTAAAAAGGGACAAACAACCATCTTTGAAGTAGGTCTACCACTCCAACAACCAGTTGTCGTAAGAAAAAGGGTAACTATAGGGAAGCACTTACATCTGCCCTTAATGTGTTGGTTGAGAATTCAAAGAAGAAGTCAGAGTATATTGACTATAAGATGTCTAGTGCGTTGAATTCACTTGAGGACATTGATGCAGCTTCATACACAAAGGCTATTAAGATTTTTGGAGATGGTATGAGCTTTAGGAAGATGTTCTTATCTATGCCAGATCATAGGAAGAAGGACTTTGTTAATCACCTATGATGGTTGTACTTTACCCTAGCATTTTGGATGTGTACTTTGAGATTATGTGTACTTTGGGATTATGTGTACTTTTGGATTATGTGGACTTTGGTATTATGCTTGCTTTTGGATTGTAGTTTAATTATTATGCGTAGTTATAATGTTTTGTGATAAATGTCTTATATGTGCATTACGTATGGATATTACAGGTAAACTTGAATATTGAATAATGAATTCAAATGAAGACTTTGATATGATATTAGATAGTGATGATGAGATGTTTATTGTATTGACTGCAATAGAATTAAATAGTCAAAATACATCATAACAATCATATTGAACGTCTGCTCTTACAAGCCATGATTACGTGTTGAAGCTATTACATGAACATGAAAATAGGTGTTATGAGCAATTTAGAATGGACACGCCTGTATTCATGTTGTTTTGTGAGGCATTAAAAGAAAAAGGGTTGAAAAACTCAAGGTATGTAACTGTGCAAGAGCAAGTCTCAATATTTTTACTCACAATATCACATAATGAGCAAAATCGCGCAGTAGTTGAAAGGTTTTAGCATTTAGGGGAGACCATTTCCAAATACTTTAATCATGTTATGAAAGCAATTTGTAGGCTTGGAGTTGATATCATCAGCCCTCCCGATTTTAGTATGGTTCAACCTCAGATTCGTTTCAACCCAAGATATTACCCTTTCTTCAAGGCAAGTGACAGTAATTTGTAGAATATGTTCCAAGAAAATACTACTTTTAATGTCATTCATGTGTTTTTTTTTTCTTTGAAGAATTGTGTTGGCGTCATTGATGGCACCCACGTTGATGCTCGCGTTCCAGCGGATTCCCAGATACCATACCATGGGAAATGTGTTGTATCAATACAAAATGTAATGTGTGCATGTTAATTTGACATGCGCTTTGTAATGAGTGGATGTGAAGGTATTGCTCATGACTCAAGAATATTTGCTAAGTGTGTTGCTAATCCAGCCAACAAGTTTCCAATGCCACCAGAGGGTAAGTGTAATTATGGAAGTTGTAATAATTATACATAAAACTAGACAATGAATCTTACACTTATAGCATTTTGACAGATAAATACTATGTTGTGGATTCGGGCTACACAAACATGCGTGGTTTTCTGTCCTCGTATCATGGTAAGAGATATCACCTGTGTGACTATAGAGGTAGGGGCCGACAACCAATCGAAAAATAAGAACTATTCAATCATCGTTACTGTGGAATGTGATAGAGTGTTGCTATGGAGTTCTAAAGGCTCGTTTTTCCATTCTGAAGTTAATGCCTCCACATCCCTTAACCACACAGAAATACATTCTCACAACATGTTGTATAGTGCATAACTTTATACGAGTGCATTCTCGTCAAGATCAGTTATTTGACGAGTGGAAAAGAAGAGAATTTGTTGATAATGAAAGAACTGTTGCAGGATTAAGTTCAAAGGTTCCAACATAATTAGACATAAGTCTGAGTCAACTGCGTCAAATGGCTCATGTTAGAAATACAATTGCAGATCAATTTTGGGCATCAACTCACCATTGATAGATGTCCTAATATTATTATTTATTATGATGGTAAAAATGTGTTGGTACTTGCATTGGTATATTTAATTTAATGTTTGTATGACTAATTTTACTTGTTAATGTTAATGTAATTAGGTGTGTTATAATGACACGTATTGGCCCTCCATACTCGTGTAGATCTGGAAAAATGAATATTTTGGTCGTAAGGACCAAACGAAACAATGGGCGAGCTTTTTATCGTTGTCCACGATGGCTTGACCATGATAATTGTTTCATATGGGTTGATGAGTACAACACAATTACAAATAAACATCAAGTGATTCCTCAAGCCCAATCAAGATGGAGAGAGAGAAATGGATCACTATTTTCATGCTTCCTTGTTGTGGTTGTAATTTGATCTTTATTTGTGCATTATTGTTCGTGGTATTTGTATTAATTATTGAAATTTTAGTTAAGTGATATGACTTATTAATGTGTGTATTTGGTTGTATGTTGAACAATATGATGTATGAATGTGGATAGTGACTTATATAATTTAATTATCTTTATTTAGGTGTTCTTTGATGAATTAGTGGATGTTTTGGTTTAAGAAATTTTTGGACTTTGTATTTTGTTGTATGATATATTATAAAGTGTATTGGAAGAGATATGGAGATTGCTTGAGGGTTTGCAATTTCAACTGCAACATGTATATACGGAAGCTAATGCTTTAGCTGGCTTCATTTGATGTTAGAAACTGGTTGCTTCACTGACTTTTCTAGCAGTGGTATTTTGCCACTGGCGGGAAGGTTGATTTTGCATCAGGACCAGTCCATGATACCTATTACAAGGAGGAGGAAGGTTTTAGAGGTGTTGTCTGATGTGCCAAGAGCAGATTTGCATTGGCCAGGCTAATCAAGGAGGTTTTTGTGTATCAATGGTGATTTGGTATTATCAATGGAGGTTGTTTTAAGAACTAGGAGCTGAACTGAGAAGTCCAAAAGATGCAGAAATTTAATCAAAATTGGTTTTGGTCCTTTTTGATTGTATATTGGCAATTATGGAAAGAGAGGTGTAGGAGGATCTTTGAAGGGAAAGGACAACACTCAACTTTTGTTTATTATGGAATTCTGTATTTTTGGAGATTGCAAGCTCATAATATCTCTGTGTTCTTCAAGATTGAAGTCATAACTTTTATAGCATCTACCTTTATTCAGGCTAATGAACTGATTTCTTTTGGGAAGCAAATTAATCATGATTCTTACTCAAGCAACTGAATGTAGATTACATACAAAGAATGAGGCGTGAAGTTCTATCTAAACAGCATGCACGTAGAGTACATGAATTCATTTCACAAGGAAAACAGTCCAAATCTCAAATAAGGGAGAGGTTTTCCAAAAATAAAGAGTTTCAAGAGAAAAATACTATGGCAGGCACATGGTTGTTACGTTGCTCTTCTGGGAATTCATCTTATGCCAAGCAACCAGTCTCAAAATATTTCTATGATTGGAGAACCTCCTAGACATACTGGATCTCCTCTGCTCACTACTCTTTTCTGGACTTCTATTGATTTTGTCTCTACAGATTCTTTATCTCAACGATCTTCTTGGCTTTGGCCTTCAATGACCATCTGTTGCTGCTGCTGCTGCTGGATGTTCTCCTTTGTGCTTTACAATGATATGTGGTCACATTCACCAAGTTGTTTGGCTTTCTAGTCTCTTCGGATGCTTCTTCTTGGTATTTTGGTCTTTTGGAGGGATATTGATCTTATATGGTTTTGGATTTTAAAGAATAGTTGGATAGTCATCTTCTTCAATTTGAGGTTCACAAGGGTCTTCTGGTTCTCATCATTGTGCAGAAGATTTCTCTCAAGTTGCATTCAGAGGAAGGGGATCATCTTCGGTTTGAGCTTCCTTCTAAATGGTCTGGGAGTCTTCAAAGGTCTTTCCTCGAAAGCCTCTTACCTTGTTAATGCTGCCTTATCAAATGACTTTTCAAATTTGCCACCACTTATCAGATCTGACTTCTCAGCTTTGTCTCATCATCTACTTATCAGATCTGCCTCTTTAGTTCCCTTCGAAGATAACTTATCAAATGGTCTCTCAGCTCGATAGCAGCCTATGATCCTTTCTTATTTTAGCTCATTTAGCAGCTTTAGTTATAGCTCATAGCTCAAGGCTTACCAATCCACTCCTTCTGCTCAGTAATCTCTCACTACTCAGGCTACTGGTTCTCTCGGTTCCAATTATCAACTCAATTATAATCACTTGCAATTGGTCTTTAATGCTGCCCAAACCTCAGTTGCATTTCTAGCTGATTATGCTATTTTAGGAGCTGCATGTGTTAGGATCTATTTTCTTTTATTTATCATTTACTAAACATGCATTTTTGCTCTCTTTTCAATTTTATTCTACGTAATTTCCTTGCACCGTCGTGGTTCAAAAAAAATAATAATAATTGCATCTTATTCAGATTTAGACTGTTTATGCTGTTGGCATTGGGACAGTTCTAGAATCTGGACTATTCTGCATTGGTCTATTTCTGAGTATGGAATGGGGCATGAAGACAGGAGTTTTTTAAAAATCAGGGGGTCATAAATGTAATTAGATATGATTTAATCTTCAAGGATTAAAGCCATTTTTTCATACTTTTAGAAATTTTTTTTTTTCATTCTTTGTAATTCTTTCTTTTTGGAAATAAGATTTTCTCTTTCTTAAAAAAAAAATAAAAATTGGCCAGGCATATTTAGGATATTTAAAAAAATGATATATTATAAAACATATTTAAGATAAAACGTAAAATAATTACCAAACATGTTTTTTGTTTTTTATTCTTATAATTTAATTGACAAAAATGATATCCAAACATTCATGTCTAATATGAATGTGTTTCCTTAATTTAGAGTGTATTTCACTTACATCACAGAGTGAAAGCCCTTGGATTCCGTTGTTAGGGCTAAATCTTCAACTAAGTCAATTTGAAGAAAAAAATTCAATCAATGCCTACAATGTGCCTAAGTGCAATTCACGGGTAACCACGCTCTGATACCAATTGAAAGGGGAAAGTGTTAAGGAACTTCCCATGTGATAATACAGTTGAAATCACATACATGACCTAGAGGGGATGAATAGGTAAATTGCACTTTCCATTCGGACAATTACCAGAACCTATAAGGCTTTCGTTGTGGAAGCCATTGGTGGCTTCAAGAAGATCAGCAGAAGTGTGCCTCAGGAGAGGCTGGTCAAATGTTGCCAGGTTGACGCTCAATGCCTCGCGAATAGTGGTTAGCCTCGAAGCGCTATTTGCAGCCCCATTGCCACGCTCCCTGCAAGGGATGCTTGTCTACGATGAGACTTCTGGTGCTGGTTTAAACTTGCACCTGAACCTGCCCCACAAGGAGGTAGAGGGTACCCACAAAGGCCTGAATTATTGAGGAACCTATAATCAGGAAATGTATCAAAAGGAAACGATTCAGGAATCATTCCAGAGAGGTGGTTATTGGACAGATCAATCTCCACGAGCATTGCAAGGCCAGTCAATGATGGTGGAATAGAACCATTGAGACTATTATATGACAGATCAAGACTCGCAACATACATCAAACCTCCAAGCTCTGGAGGAATAGGACCAGAGAGAACATTATGCCCCAAATTCAATATAGAGAGATAGTATGTGGACCCAAGCTCCTTTGGAATACTACCGTCCAACTTATTGTAAGAAAGGTCAAGAAAAATCATTGACCCATTGTGGTTGAATGTTGGTTTGGTGCTGCCCCTGTAAACTCTAGTAAAGTTGCAGGGGTGCTTTGATGAAATACGGTCCAACTGTTCCTGTCTGATTCCTCCGGACTCAAGCAAATTCCATGCTCCATGGCACTGCTTACTGCCATCATTCTTGATGTACACGTACATTTTCCCAGTGAGCAATGCCAATGCAATCTTGCCAGACTGTTTGAACATAGCTGGCGGGATAGTCCCATTCAAGAAGTTTGTATTCAGATCCAACCATATCAAGCTACAACAATCCCCTAGCTCCCCCGAGATGCTCCAAGAGATTGAGTTGTTTCCTAGTTTGAGAATGGCTAAATTTTCCAGACTACCAAACGAGGCTGGTATCACACCACTGAGTTGATTGTTGGACAATGAAATCCAATTCAAATGTGTACAATTGCTCAAACTAGGAGGGATCGATCCGGTCAAGTCATTAAAGTCGAGAATGAAGCTGATTGTAAATACATAAGCTCTTGTGGGATTTCACCATGAAGCTGATTCAACCACATAATCAAATCCCGAAGCTTCCCCAATGACCCCAAGGTAGATGGGATTGTTCCATTAAGGTAATTAAAGCTTTAGATCAAGTGAAACCAATTGTGAACAATTACCGAGACTCTCTGGTATTGAACCAGTGAAAATATTGTTCTGAAGATACAGCATTTTCAAACTATTTCTTGGGTCTTGACAAATTCCAGAAGGAATCAAACCCGAAATATTATTAGAACTGACATCTAAAGTCTCCAAGTTTGTCAAATTTGACAAAGATTCAGGCAAAGAACCAACAAAAGCATTGAATGATAACACCAAATCCTTCAAATTACTCAACTTGAGAAAGGTTCCAATTGGTAACTCACCAGAGAAGTTGTTGTCAGAAATATCAAGGAGTTCCAAAACAGAGCATGCCCCAAAGCTTTCAGGCACAGTACCAGACAAATTATTGGAAGACAAATCCAACTCCACAAGAGCTGAACACAAATTCGAAAGATTTGAAGGCAATACCCCATGAAAACCATTACCAGAAAGGTACAGAGACTGCATGGCTCCGCTAGGAAGGTTTGGAATCGCACCAGTGAAATGGTTATTGGTAAGTTTCAAATAACTGAGTTTCCCACAAACAGAGAGACAAGAACTAACGTCTCCAGAAGACTTGTTGGATGACAAATCACGATGTTGCAAATATGCACAATCACCAAACGAAGGAAACCCAATTGAGAAATTATTGGCAGAAAGATCCAAATACTCCAAACTCTTGCAATCCGACACCGGAACATCGCCGGCGACTTTGTTACTGGTCAAGGACAAGTACCGGAGCTCACCACAACCATTGGGTAATAGCCACCGAACTAGGTCTTGACCGGATATCTTATTGTAAGAAAGATCGAGCACTAGAAAATTGAGATGTAACCCTTTTGAATCCTGAACATTGAAGTGCAAGAAATTCTGGGAAAGATTCAGAAAACTCAAGCTTGAGCATGAACCAAAGCTTGAAAGATCAGAAATTGGCCCAGAAAACGGCGTTTTCAGCTAGATCTATGTAGCTTAATACGGTGCTAAATTTTGATCTTGCAATAGAATTGACAGTGCCAGAGATATTAGAGCTTTTCAACAAAAGGGTCTCCAAGTTCGGAAGATTTATCCAGAGAGATGAGACTGAGAGAAAATCGACGCTCAGCCAAGTGCCGCTGTGATCTATGGAGGAACTCTGGAGTTCTTGCAGGTGACTTCGGTGAAATTACAGGGGTTATTGTTTGACCACCAGTTGTGAAGCACGTTTGGGATTGGTAGTGAAGCTTTGAAGGATAAGAGCTGTTGTGAGTATTTGGATAGGCCATTGACAGAAGCTGAAGAAGCTTGTAGAGAGAGAAAGGTAAGAAAGTACGAGAAGAGTAGAAGATAATAGAGCAAGAAGAGGTTCTTTAAGCTGAGAGAGAGGAACTGAAAACTATTAGGGGTTTCATTTTTGAGTTTGGGATGATACAACAAATAATTCTCAAGCTCAATTGTGGAGGTCAGATAAGGAGATCGGACAAGACATACAGAGCTCAATGGATCAAAACTCGAACTTTTCCTCAAACGAGACAATAACAGCAGGGAATAGCTGGATGCTACTTGGAACCCTATAAACACTCGAGAATAGTATCCAAAACGAAAAGTCTTCAACCAACCAAGATATTTTCTAACAATCAAGGAGAAATTTACGAGTGAAAGGCAAATATCTCGGCAAAGATCCCACAGATTGAGGAACAGCTCTATAAATACTGTATAATACCCCCAATAAAAGAGGCAAATTTTTAGTAGCACAAGGGACTGATTGTAAAGGAGATTCCCCCATTATAGAAACGGAAGGAGCAAGAGTCTCCATTAAAGAGTGGATTAGCCAAGTTTTCAAGCTGGTGATCCACTATACTTTTATTGTGCACAACTCTCCCAAATCCCTAGTAATCTTTACACAAATCTCATGAGCCTCTTAGCTCAGATCCAACTTGTCAAGCATGGTCTATTCCCTCTGCTAATCCACATCAATTTTCACCTTCAGTTTGACGTCGTCTGTAAGAACAATAATTCTCATTACAAGTATGCTGATCCTTCAGTAACTGATGGTCTCAACCCGCAATATGAGCAGAAGCCAAATGAATCCCCCACTAATGTAGAACCAGAAGGAGAACACAAGTAGACATCACAAGAATCCACAAGATTTATTCCCAACCGTAAATGTCAATCCTCCTATGATGGATCCTCCCACAAACAACGAGTTGGAGGCCCTCGGCTTGATAAAGCAAAATGAGGAACTTCTGAAGCTTTTACAAGAACCACAGGAGAAACAACCAGCCCAAGGAGGCCAGAATGATTTCCCTCATAGGGAACCGCAAACCCTTGATCCATTTCGGGAGGCCGACGAAAGAGGAGAAAATAGCCAAGTTCCCCAACCCACTCTAAGGAACTGGGACAATGAAGAGGTGCAGAGCAGAAGTAATGAGATTGGGAAGAATAACCTCCACCCAGTCTAGCAAGAGCGGAAAGACCAATATTGGGAGCAGCGCTTCAAAGATATTCAACAGGAGCTCAACCACATGAAGGAGGCCGTTAAGGGTAAGACCCCAGTTACCATGGACGCCTTGGTGCAACAAACAGAGTCCCCATTCACTCATGGGGTATTACATTTTATCCCTCCCACCAAAATTCAGAATGACGCAAGTAGAAGCTTTTAATGGAACTAGAGACCTCATGGACCACCTGAACACCTATAAAAACCAGATGGAGTTGCATGAATATCAAGACCCTGTTCGTTGTCGCGCCTTTGCTATAACTCTGAATGGGTCAACCTTAGCATGGTTTAACCA